CTGTTAAGAAAGGAAAAGAAAATAAAAGGAGAAAGAAAGAGAAGAAAAGGTCCTAGGCTTCTTTGGAAGAGTCAAGGCGATCTCATAGTTGCAGTATCTAGAATCCAAGACTCCTAGGCTGGCACAGAACCTTCCAAGTTCATCTGTCTGTTTGCTTTCTCTGATGTCAGCATGTCAGATTTTATCAGACATACTAGATCCCTAGTAATGAAATTTCTCTTTAGGTCTCAGGGAGTTTTCTTTTTCTTTTTTTTTTTTTTTTTAAATTTTTTGAATGTTTATTTTGAGAGAGAATGTGCGTGCACGTGCACACACAAGTGGGGAAGGGGCAGAGAGAGATTCCCAAGCAGAGCCTGATGAGGTGCTCCAACAACAGGATCATGACCTGAGTCAAAGTCAACAGTGGGATGCTTAACCAATGGAGGTGCCCCTGAGGGAGCTTTCTTGGATTATAGGTGCCCCCTAACTTCTCTGTGGTTTGCACATTTAGCTCCTACCACTGTGTACAATATCTGGGTGAGAACACAGACAAAACCTCATTTAAGATAGGGCTAAGAAAGAAAGGGGGAATCCTGAAAGAAGGGGAATCCTATTTTCTTGCTTGAGGATAACTTGCCCCATCTCTGAAAAGAGCTAGCATGGAGTTAAGAAAAGCATCACTCCAGGGGTGCTTGGCTGGCTTAGCCAGTAGAGCACATGGCTCTTGATCTTAGGGTTGTGAGTTCAAGCCCCATGTTGGATGTAGAGATAACTTAAAAAAAAAAAATATGCCTGGGGGCGCCTGGGTGGCGCAGTCGGTTGAGCCTCCGACTTCAGCCAGGTCACGATCTCGCGGTCCGGGAGTTCGAGCCCCGCGTCAGGCTCTGGGCTGATGGCTCAGAGCTTGGAGCCTGCTTCGGATTCTGTGTCTCCCTCTCTCTCTGCCCCTCCCCCGTTCGTGCTCTGTCTCTCTCTGTCCCAAAAATAAATAAATGTTGAAAAAAAAATTAAAAAAAAATATGCCTGGAAAATTCAAAAAGATATATTAAAAACAAAGCATCATTCTTTTTTAAAAATTTTAATGTTTATTTTGAGAGAGAGAGAGACAGACAGAGTGCAAGCGGAGGAGGGGCAGAGAGAGGGAGACACAGACTCTGAAGCAGGCTCCAGGGTCCAAGCTGTCAGCACAGAGCCCTATGTGGGACTGGAACACAAACTGTGAGATCATGACCTAGGCCAGAGTCAGACACTCAACCATCTGAGTCACTCACGTGCCCCCAAAACAAAGCATCATTCTAATATCCTTCAGAACTCCCTAATTTTTAGATTGTACACAGGGTGAGAATGGTGCTCAAGTACTGGCAAAGCTCTGCACAGAGTGGAAGGGTACTACATTTCATCACATAGCTGAATATTTTACCATTTAAAAAACTGTGAATAATACTTATAGAAGAGTATATAATGTATATGTGTATCTATGGTTTGAAAGATAATTATGAAAAATAAGCCCCATGTACTGTCCAACCAGCTTGAAAAGTAGAATATTGCAGAACCTCTGAAGTCCCTTGGTGGGGTTGCTAGCACTGTGGTACAAGATGGGCACTCACAAAGGTCCTACCAAGGGGAGGGAAATCTGCTCCAGGAGGATGGGGCCTTTTCCTCGGGTACAAAGGCTCCACCTGCAGCTAGGCTGTGGATCTCTGGGCTGTTTTGGCCACATAGAGGCTAGTGCAGCCCTGTTCTTGGGTGGTTGCATATATATGCTCCATACCCTCCACTAGAGGTAACAATTATACTGAATTTTCGGTTAGTTATTCTCTCATTTTTCTTGAGCATTGTTAAAAAGAAACAACATGCCTGTGGAGTCACCTGTGCTTAATCCTGCCAAGACTTAATACCTAACCTAACTGCAATTTCAGCCTTTCCCAGGAGTCACATTTTAAAACAGCCAGTCTGGAATTTCCTGGTCCATGCTAGTGAGGTAATCTGCTTGATAAAACCCCAGCTATTCTCAAAGGGATGGTAACTTGGCCTGAAATAATCCACTCTTTGAACTTCCTTGTCCCATCCTGCTTCTGCATATAACAATCTTCCATTTTGAACTCGGAGCTCCCTTCTAATTGGTAGATGGGATGCTGCCCAATTTATGAATTATTTAATAAAGCCAATTTTGTTTACCATATATATATGTATATATATGTATTATATGTATGTATATATGTATTATATGGTACATCATCTTTTTTTCCTCCTCAAAACATCATTTGCCTTTGTATTTGTTTTTTACTGTTGTTTTAACGAACTACCACAAACTTAGTGGCTTAAAAAATACAAATTCCTATGTTGGGGCAGAGATTATCTGTGAAGTCTCTACCTTCTCAATTTTGCTGTGAACCTAAAGCTGCTCTAACGTCTTTTTTTTTTTTTTTTTTTTTTTTTTTTAAGGCATTAGGTACTAGGATTAAGCTAGCTGGGAACTCTCTGTGTTATCTTTGCAACTTTTCTATAAACCTAAAATTATTCCAAGATATAAGGTCGTTTTTCTTAAAAAAAAAAAAACCCAAAACACAAATTTATTATCTTACAGTTCTATATGTCAAAAGTCTCAATTGTGTCTCACTAGTCTAAAATCCAGGCTCTAGGGGGCCTCTGGAGAGAATCTGTTTCCTTGTCTTTTTTAGCTTTTAGTAGCTGTCCACATTACCATGGCTCCTGCACCTCCCTCTACGCCCACCCCCTTGCTTTTCCAGGACAGCAATGTGGTCTGAGTCAATCTCACATCTAATCACTCCAAAACAAACACAAGATTGTCCGCCCCTCACCCCCAACCTTCAGATACCAATTGCAGGTAGTGGGTCCCTGGGTTACCCCCACTCCTGTCTGACTTGGCTATAAATCAGGGGTGTTCCCATGATTCTCTCCTCAAGTTCAGTAATTTGCTATAATGCTATAATGGCTCACAGAACCCAGGGAAACACTTCACTTTCTATTACTTGTTTATTATAAAGGATATTATAATGGATACAAATGAATAACCAGATGAAGAGGTATGTAGGGCCAGGTGCAGCAGGTTCCTAAGCTTAAGAGCTTCTGTCCCTGAGGAATTTGGGATATACTACTGTCAGAGCCCATGGATGCATTCACCAACCCAGAAGCTCATTAAATCTTATTGTTCAAGTTTTTATAGAGCTTAATCTCCAGCTTCCTTCCGTTCCCAGGAGGTCAGAGGTGGGGCTGCAAGTTCTAACCCCTCTAATCTTTTGGTCTTTCTGGCATTAGCCCCATCCTGAGGTTATCTAGGGGCCCTCTTTAAGTCAACTGATTAGCATGAACTCAGGTGTGATGGAAAAAGGGGCTTGTTATGAATAAGAAAATATACTCCTTTTACCCCTATAACTCAGAAAATTACAAGGGTTTTAGGAGCTCTGTGCCAAGAACCAGGAAAGAGACCAAATATGTATTTCTTATTATATCACAATGTCACACATATACATTATTTATATTCCATATTTGATAACTAGAATACTTGCAGTCATTGCCGATATTATTCTGAAGTTCATTATTTCCTTGTGTTTTTTTTTGTGATATTTTATTATGAGGTCATATTTCTTGGAACCTTACCTATAGGATTTCCAGAGGATTCACTTTTGCTTATGCAAGGTACACGATGGAGGGGGGCGGGCACTAACATGATCACCTTTATAGTTTTCAGCTCAGGATTTTCTGGTTCACACCAGTAGTGTGAAATTCTGGGTCCCTCAATATGCTTGTAAACTTGTTTAGAGATTCTTAGAGGTGAGTTTTCTTTTTATCTACTCCATCCTCAATTAAGTTGGAGACAGTCAGATTTCCTTACCCTTTCCTTTGGTAGGTCAAGTTCTTTTTTCTTGTTCTCCAGTTGAAGATGTGGCCCTTCAGGGATCTTAGTTTGGGGAATTCTCCAATGTGAATTATGGACAAGATACCAGAGGCCCAGAGAATATGGATGCCTTATCCAACTAGATGAGATCATAGAGGCTGCTCAGATAAGGTGATACTTAGGACATTTGAACTGGAGTTAGGCTTATTGACATAATTACACTCTGTTCCCCAAAAGGCAGGAATCATGTCTAGTGTGTTCACTGCTGTGTTTCCAGAATGTGGCACAGTACCTGGCATATACTACATGCTCAATAAATATTTTCAAGTGTGTGAATGAGTATGTACTATCCAAGTATTACAGGTGGAGGGAAACAATACACATAAGACAAACAAGAAGAAACAAATAGCAAAATTTGTTGTTAAAAGGCAACAAATTTGCTTACACTAAGGGCCATTTCATTTTTCCACAAGTGTTTTTGTGGTACTTGTTTTTGGTAAAACACTCATTTAGGATACAGGTAGTATCCTACTCTAAAAGGGAAGTAACACACTTGCATAATAAGTATAATACATCTCCCTCATGTACAGTTTGGTTTCTCTCTTACTATGAAAGACTGAAATAAGAATGTGAGCCCTCATACTTCAGAGTTTCTCTTCTGATGAGCTAGGAGACTGGAAAAACACTGGGTGCTTCTGTAAATCATTATACCTTTGTCTTTAGTGGAAAAGAGCAGTCAGGTGTAAATATTTGGCAAAAATATGGTTGTATATAGAGTGTAATCTGCAAGTATTTGGGCTGTTAGTTTGCCAGAGAAGGTGTGGCCCTAATGAAAGGAATTTGAGGAGGCTGGCTGGTCAAATGGTAGGAGGACCCAAAAACCTCAGGCCTCTAAGGGAGAGGAAAGGTATGCAGAATGGCAAGATCCTCTTACCTGGATTTCTGGCCAAAGGGGTAGCAGAAGGCCCATGCTTTTGTGAAGGTCAAAATCTCATTGAATCTCTGAGCACTTTTTATTTTGTATTTTATTATTATTTTTTAATGTTTATTTATTTTTGAGAGCAAGGGCGGGGGAGGGGCAGAGAGAGAGGGAGACACAAATCTGAAAGCAGGCTCCAGTCTCCAGGCTCCAAGCTGTCAGCACAAAGCCCAATGGGGGGCT